TTTTTAGGATGGTGGATATGGAAGTTGTTGAATTAATTGATAGAAATGGGGCTAATAAGAGTTTTGGGGTGGCAAAGGTTGAAGGAGGCAAAAGGAGTATACTCAGAGATGGTTGAGTGAATTTGAGGTCAAGTATGCATTTACTATTCATTTCCCAACTGGGTTTAAGATAGAACCAGGTTATAGGGGGAAATTAAAATATTGGCAAAGACTTCCTTATGTTAAGCCTTACAAAAGAGAACTCACGTATCATTCGAGTGGACAGACTACTGAACCCTTGGGACAATCTTTAGGATGTGATGAGTTGACATCAAGGTCAAACCCTTATGTAGTTTTGCTGCAGATCCTTAATCACTGTAGGATAAAAATGGCAGCCCGTTGCACTAAGTTCCCGTTATGCGCGGCTCCGGGAAAGGGCCGGAACACAAGGGTCTATTGTACGCAACCTTACCCTGCTTTTCTGCAAGAGGCTGTTTCCACGGGCAACAATTTTACCAGTTACGTCAAGGCTCCCCTTCAATCACCGTAGGATCTGATTACCATAAAATATACCTTTTTTTCTCTTACATATTGGCATGTCACACTTTGTTTTCTTTTTTCACAGAGTGCTTTCCATGTGGCCTAGTTAGAGAGATAAGTTTGATCTATCTTTAGAATGGGTAGCTGTAGAAACCTTTATTTAATGATCTGTAAGGTAACATATAGAAGGGGAGCTTTGGCGTAACTGGTAAAGTTTTTTCCATGCAACCAGGAGGTCACGGGTTCCTGCCGTGGAAACAGCCTCTTGCAGAAATGCAGGGTAAGGCTGTGTACGTTAGATCCTTGTGGTCCGACCCTTCCCCGGAACCGGTGCATAGTGGGAGCTTAGGCTGTGTACGATAGACCCTTGTGGTCCGACCCTTCCCTGGACCCTGTGCATAGTGGGAGCTTAGTGCATCGGGCCTATGTTGCTCGAACTCTCCGAAAATGTTGCCGTGTGCGTGTCGGATCCTCCAAAAATAGTGCATTTTTTAAGGATCCGACACTGGTGCGGCACCATTTTGAAGAGTCCATGCAACATAGCATCGGGCTCCCTTCTTTTTTTTTTTTAATATATATTTTCTCTAGTAAGGTAGCATACTATGGCCGTTCTTGAAGTTTTTGTACTTGAAATCATTAGGAGCGCTAGTTTCTCAACATGGGCTAGTGAAAAATATCTACTAAGCTTTTGTCACGACCCAAAAATCCCTCCGAAGGAGTCGTGATGGCACCTAGTCTCTAAACTAGGTAAGCCTAACATTTACTGAAATAACATTGATATTTATTAACTTCAAATGAAATTTCTCTAAACAACTTACAATTTCCAAAACCGGTAGTACAAGTCATAAGCTTTTCTAAGAGTAGTTATACAAAATAAATACATCACTGTTCCGAACAAAAGGAACATATGGAAGTAAGTACAATTGAAGATGACTCCGAGGACCGCGAACGCTGCTGCAGGCTTACCTTGAGTCTCCACCGCAACAAACAACTACTATCGATCAAATACCTGAGTCTGTACACAAAAATGTATAGAAGTATAGTATCAGCACAACCAACCCCATGTGCTGGTAAGTGCCTAGCCTAACCTCGGCGAAGTAGTGACGAGGCTAGGACTAGACTACCAAATATACATGTGCAATATAGCGTACAAAATAATAGGAAGCAGATAACAATGATGCCAACAATGATCAACCAGTGATATATAAATAGCAGGCAACAAGAACACCATAAATGCATTTCAACAAATAACAAATACAAGTGCAATCAATTAATCGAGTCCTTCAAATATAAATGTTTCGCCTATAAATCCTTCAAGTAATAACCTCTAAGATAATATGCTTTTCAATAAATATATTTCGAATATATTTCCTTCAAATAAGTATCTTACAAGTACGCATCTTTCGAATATAATTCTTTCGAGTAAAGGTTACCTTGTGACGCCTCATTTCATAATCATAAATAATATAGGTCTCAGCCCACTTTCATATTTTCACGGCACCTCGTGCCCACATATTTCTGTCTCATATTGCACATCAATATCCTTATATTACTCAGTTCATAGGTTCCATAACCCAATACAATTAAGAATGTTCAAGGAGACTCATTCACTTAACATAAAGTAGAGTACATCTCCCAACCCAATTAGGAAATCAACAAGAAAAGATGAAGTTATTTTTAGAAATAATTTGATAAAGAAAATGCCCTTTTCAATTGAAGTACAATATCGAATGAATTGTTACCTTTAATATGAGAAATCAATAAATTAAAACATAGAAGAAATTCCTTTTTAAGTAAAGTACAACCTCAAACGGTTTAAGGAAAATTTAGCTGAGAAATCAATTGAGTTAAAAATGTAACAATTGTTGAAATTTTAAGTATTGAATATATATAAACAAATAGAGCGAGGTATTGTCAACACTATGAATTCCCACACAAAGGATCACAGCCGTAAAGGAATCTAAACCATTAAAACACTTGAATTGATAACAACAATTACAACGGAGACAAAATATTCACGGAAGGAGTACAACTCAGCACAGAGATAACAACCGGGAATATCCCAGGATACCGTCCTGTAGTCCCCAAATATAAATATCCAGTGGATCTCCCGGGTGCAGTCCCGTAGTCCAACTCATAATGTGCGGGGATCTACCGAAATCCCGATCCGTAGTCCCAAATGTAAATACCCAGTACTGGGGGAATCTCCCGGGAATCTAACCCGTAGTCCCAAAGTAAATGTGCAGGGGGATCTCCCGGGAATCGAACCTGTAGTCCCAAAGTAAACAAACAAGGGGGAGCTACCGGAATCCCACATCCGTAGTCCCAAAATAAATACACAACGCAACAGAAGGATCGAACATCAATCAACAGTTACATCACAACAGAAGGATCGAACATCACCACAATACATATAACAATAAAAAAAATGACAATAATACAAGGTACGACAAGTAAATCAACTCAGGGGCTGTAAATCACGAGAAAATGGTGGAACCAGCTCAAAGGAATAACCAAAGAAAAGAATACTGGCATAAAGGAAACAGTTCAATAACGGGAAAACTAACACGTAGCAACGATCCTACAATATACAAGTCAATAATGAGGAAATCAACATGAGTCAAGTAGTTATGAAATATAACATAACAATAGGAGAGGCAAAACTCTTCAGTTAAGTCAAATAGGAGTCACATTAATCAAAGTATAAGACTCACGGGCATGCTTGACACCAACGTATAGATACTCGTCACCATGCCTATACGTCGTACTCAACAAATAACACATAACAATTATGACACAACTCCTAATCCCTCAAACTAAGGTTAGACCAAACACTTACCTTGCTTTGCAACCAATTCAAAATTCCAACAAGCCTTTGCAGCGCGAATTCGTGCCCGAATTTCTCTAATCTAGTCATAAACAATTCGATTTAGTCAATAAAAATTATAGGAATTACTTCCATATGAATTTCTACATTTTCAAATTTAACTCAAAATCGCTCGTGGGGCCCACGTCATGAATCCCGGAAAAACTTACAAAATCCGAATACCCGTTCTGATACGAGTTCAACCATACAAAAATTATCGAATTCTGACATCGGATTGCCTTTCAAATCCTCAATTAAAGTTTTGAAGATTTCTACCATTTTTAACCCAATCTTTACCTATTTGAACTCAATAATCTTCCCATAACCTTATTGTTACAAGCATGTATAACTAATACTCAAACATCCATGAATCATCTTACTAATTACCCATTTCTAGTTAGATTTCGAAATTGGAGAATTGGGGAAAAAGAAATTCTTACCTCTTTGATGAAGAACTTGAGGAATTTCAAGGTTTGGACAAGATTTTGATGAACCAAAACACTTATGCTTCTTTCTCTCTCTAAAAACGTTCTCCCCTCTCTCTAAAACACCAGAAATACCCAAAAATATGAACCCTAAATGAGTTATATGAAAGAGGGGTCGGGTCAGAAAAACCCGTTTTTGTACAGCCGCGCCGCGTTGGGCGCCGCAAGGGGTGGCGTGGTAATGAAAAATGTGTTTAGAAACGAAATTTAAGGTGCTCTGATAATTTACACAGCCGCGCCGCATGGGGCGGCGCGGTAGTGTAAAATTCTACGCTGCTTTTGGTAATTTGGTCATAACTTCTGGTAGGAGTGTCCAAATGACGAACGGTTTGAAGCGTTAGAAACTAGACTTGAAGATCTTTCATTTGATAGGTTGTTCATCACATGAAACCTTATAACTATTTATATATGATCGTCCAAAGTGAGGTCTTGTGCGTACTCATTTGCAACTTTAGTCTATTATGAAATTATCCAACTTGGCTTAGACTTAGGACTTTCTTTAGACCTAATATATCTTATAGTACGCCTCGTACACTTGCTATCACATCCATTTGGTATCCATCACGGTAATAGACCTCTTCCACATATAAAATAATATAATTTGAGCACGTCAACTTTCTTACTTCGCCAAAATGCGCTGAATTGTCTTATGGACTTCCAAATCCAAATTTGGACACGCGTCTAAGTCCGAAATCACCATACGAAGCTATTGACATCATTAAAATTCCATTTTGGGGTCGTTTGGTCAAAAGTCAACTCTTCGGTCAACTCTTTCCATTTGAGCTTCAAAATAAGATCTTGATTTTTCTTTAAATTTAACTCCGAATCTTACGAAAACCAAACTTGACCATACACGCGGGTCATAATGCACATTATGAAGCTTCTTGGGGTCTTAAGCTGCTGAACGGAGCGCTAATTCTTAAAATGACAAGTCGGATCGTTACAACTTTCTGAGCTTGATGCTTTGCCCTGCATGGTTCACAAAACGATTTCCGGATGCAAATCATGCAAACATCGGTACCAAGAACAAGCTTGAATCGTACAACTATTTTCATTTCACACTTATGTGCTACTGAAGCAAACCAAGATAAATTCCATGATCCCATTCTTATTTTCAATATCATATTACATTGTATATATTAACTTCTGCATGTTTATAAAGATTGTAAAGCCATTCAATATATTGGTAGAGCCGACGTTGTTGCCTCTCTATTGATGAACTTCTTCCTTCTATGTTGTTTAAGAATGTCATTCATATAACTATCTCGTAGCTGTTGAGCTTGTTGAGATAGAACAGAAAGCTGTCAATCTGCTTTGTAATGCAGTTGTAGCCTGTTGCAATGTTGAGAATCATATCAGTGAGATTAGTTTCCCATTTTAGTTTGGCGATTCTAATAAGTAATTCATCAATGATTCGCAATAGAGAATTTACCCGAGCTTCATTGCATTTGATGATGTGTAATTCCTCTGTCCTTGTGGCTGGCGTAGCTGGAGATTGATAAAATTATATCCATTGCTGATTGCGTTTGTAGCAGGAGTCTCATTTGCTTCATTTCTGCCTCCCGTGCCATAAACCTGAAACCAATGTTTTCTCCTTTAGATTAAGCCCAAGCACATCTATGCTTGTAGTAAATGGGAAACAGAAATTATAATTCATGGAGCGTTTTTGTTTAATATATAGAGGTAATATTCTTGCAATTAGTACCTTTTTCTGCAATCCTATCTTCTCTTGATAAAGGAGATTCACCTTCTCATTTAGTTCTATATTTTCTTGAACAATGATACTGCCCTGCAGTAGGAATGTTAAAAGTCATCTCTATATGGAAACTTAAAACACAAGACATAGGGACTTATTATAGTTTTCTAGTAAGACCTTCCGGTTCAGTTCTTTGATTTCATCAGTTAAAGTTTGTTCCTGCCATAGAAGGATTATTACATTTAGGATCACTGTGAACTTGATAGAGCGAATGTTCAGTAACCACAAAATTTTAAATGGCTTAGACTTTACCTTTTTCATTCGGATGCTTCTCAAACTTATGTCAAGTTGGTTTTCCAGATCTTTAATGCTGAGTCCAGAAAGTTTTTCACCCAAAAGCTGCCTGTGGTCATTATCAGATAAGGATAATTAACATTTGTATAAATCCTTAATCACCTTGGTCTGAGGATAGGCTTGTGCTTTGCCCTTTCTTTCAACAAGCTTGACCTTAGTGCTCTATCTCTCATGTGACAAAGGAACTAAGGAGTGATTGAAACATGAGTATTCTTTTGAGTAGTTGAGTCGATCTTAGCAACAGGCAACAGCTGGTTAGGAGGGTAGATGAGTGAGGATCGAGTTACTAGGATTCGTGTAAAAGAAGTACTAGCGCTTCTTGTTTAATGTCGAGGGAAGATCAAACCAGAAGAGAAGGAAAGGAAAAATGCATTCTCTGCTGTGACACGCCATGTTGCATTGAAGCAATATTTCAGCATGTGTCTTACACTTGAGGTTTGGTTCTAACAACCTTTAACTTCAATAATATTCAATACCACTTGAGTATATACACGTTCATCCTTTGAATTGAAGGATGTAACAGATATGGAGGAAAAAAGTGTCAGATGTATTGTCAGTAATTATTACATTGTGCAGAGAGGCAAAGATCACAATTATAGAATTGATTTACCTGTGGCTTTCTTGCAAGTAATGCAGCTGTTGCCTTAAGTTTGCTGCTTCCCCTTGCCAAAACTAGCAACAAGAAAAAGCCAGCTGTTTAGTTTGACTTGACAACTGCTATACTAGTTATATAAGACAAAACTAATAACAGAACTTGATTCTTAACAGTGTTAAAGTTTATAAGCAAGCAGATACAAATTCCATTCATCTTTCCCGTAATATAGCCCCTAGTGAATTATCGCAAACCATAATTAATTCAAGGAAAGGGTATGTGCATTGGTTATATCTTCACTACAAAGCAATGGCCTTTCTTGAGAACATTTTGAACCTTGTTAAATTACAGAAAGCAAATAAATGCATATGTTGGAAATTGTGGTTTCAACCATCAATCTCAAGTCCTCTACATATTTTCTTTTGAAGGTGCACCATCTAATTTTCTTTTGAAAAGTCACAAGAATAAATTTTAGAAAGAAAAGATTTTTGGGAGTATCCCCTATTTTGAGAAGGGGTCATCGTCCAGGCCGAAGGTCCTAACCGAGGCGGTGACTTCCTGAAACTACTTGTGCCAAAGTAGGGAGTATACGAGCCGAGGGTCTCGTTGCTGGGAATTTGCCTAGCCAGGCTAAGGTATGATACAGGAGCGCTGAGAACCATGAAGCAAGTGGCACCTCGTGGATTGAGCCTATTCGATCAGATTGGATCGAACCTGTGTCGATCACACGGTGACTAAGACAGAAATAAGTCAGGATAGTTAGAACCCTCAAAGCATAAAGTGAAGTACTTTTTTTAGATAAGAAAGAAAAGAAAAGAATTTCTTTTAGAATATTCATAAATTGTTGTTATGCAATTATATTTTTAGAATTGTTCGTAGAAGCTTTATGTTTTCCATGCATTTAGAATCTTTGCTTGTAATGTATATTTTGTTAAAATTTCGTTCCCTGTCGTTGAGACTCACTGAGTACAATGGATGGTACTAATGTTCTCTTTTGGGAACCTGCGTTGGTCTGCGGTACAACGTAGGAACCGATTTTGCAGGCGAGCATGTTATGGGTTAGGACTTCCCTCACTTCCAGTGCTATTGGTGAACTTCGTTTTTGTTCGTGGAGTACTCCTTTGAATCGTCATTATTTAGTTATTTTTTTTTGTTTACTTGGAGAACTGGCCAGGAAATCTCATGTCCTGAACAGTGCGTCAGTTTATCAATAGAGGCTTCATAGATACAGTCGATGGGTTAAGATTCAGGTGTTTTTGATAATAACTTTGCAATATTTTAGTAGTTACTACGAATAAAGTTTTGGAGTTGGCTTTTAGATATTCAAATTAATTAAAAGTATTTGATTAAAGTATTGCCTTGTTGCATATAAAGTTTGAAGTTAAAATAGTTTTGATAAGCGCAGATGGTTCGCTCGGTCGGATTTAGCGATCGGGTGCCCGTCACGGCTTGTTTAGAAAATGGATTGTGACAAACTTGGTATCAGAGAATCAGGTTTATGGAGTCGCAGGGGTCTATGAAGCCGTGTCAGTAGCGTCTTATTTATGGGTCTGAAGTGCGCCATACTTATAAATAGGAGGCTACTAGCATTTAGGAAAAGTCTGATTTTTTGTCATACTTTAGATCGTGCAGTAGAGCCTACCTCTAAGAAATTATCTAATATATTTGTTTCTCCAAAACCCGCAGAAATGGCTCGTACTCGCAACTCTGACACTGGCAATCAGGATGCTACTCAAGAATATTGCTACTATTGCTGCTCAAGGTAGAACTAAGAAGGCTTCAACTCAGAAAAGGAAGGGTAAATCCACAAAGGGGGTTCAAGTAACCCGGGTTGAACATGAAGAAGGGGTGGATCACGATGAGCAAGTACCTCAGGATCCAGTGAACCACCCCTCCCCCCAATAGCAGTTCCGGCTTAGAAAACTATATCTCCAGAGGTGGGTCAGATGTTTAATGCTGTCAACAGTGCTATGGAGATGTTTAAAGCCTTCATGGCCAACTAGAACGAGGGAAGAGTTGAGATTCCACCTCAATCAAATAGACAGAACAGTTCTGAGTCCTCAAGAGTGAATGAATTTTTGAAGTTGAGTCCTCCATTGTTTTGTGGTACTATAGTTGATGAAGATCCAATGTTGTGGCTGGAGGGTGTCAAGAAAGCCCTCCGAGATATGAAGGTATTTGATGATGAAGCTGTGGAGCTGGCTGCCTACCAGCTTAGAGATGTGGCTGGCGCTTGGTTTGAGATGTGGGAAAAGAAAAAAGATGAAGATGATGGCCCGCCTACGTGGGAAGAATTTTAAGAGGCCTTCATGGCTAATTTCATACCAGAAGAGGATAGGGAAGCTAAGGCTACAGAATTTGAGCAGCTCTAGTAAGGGAATAAAAGTGTGCAAGAGTACTACATGGAATTCATAAGTTTGGCTAAGCATGCTCCTCACATGGTTAAGACAGAAAAACAAGGATCCGCAGGTTTGTTAGCGGTTTGGCTTACCACATTAAGAATACGACATCAGCTACAGCGGTAGGAATGAAAGCTTTCTCCTTTGTTATGTGTTTTGACAAGCACTTAGAAAAAGACGTACAACAAAGGAGAGAAGAAAAAGAGCATAACAAGAAAGCCCGAACAACGGGCGGGTTTAGTGGTACATCCAGCAGAGAAGGAAGGGGTTCCTTTAATAAGGGGTCATTAGCACCAGCTCATTCAGGTCATTAGTCAGGTGGTGGGTCTTCCTTCAGATGTACTCAGAGTTATGGAAACCAGTCTCGCCAGAATCAGAATTTTAAGACACCATCCTCATATAGCCAGAGTCATGTTGAGCAACATTCACAACATCAAGTTCTTTGTGGTACATGTAAGCAACAACATTCAGGTCAGTGTAAGCTCAGGTTCCACGGTGCTATCATTGCGGAGACAGTAGTCATATAAAGGCAAACTTCCCAAAGTTGCAATGTAATTTCAGTAGGGGATCAACTCGTCCTTCTAGTTCCTCAGCTACTATAGCTGCACCACCTCAGGCTTGTGGTTCTCATAATCAGGTCGGACATGGAGCAGGCAGAGGTGCAGATCGAGTTACTCAGGGAGGAGGACAACCCCGTTTGTTTGCTACACTTGATCGTCGGAATGTAGAGGCATCTGCAAAAGTTATTACAGGTATTCTTCTAGGCTACTCACATAATACTTATGCCATAATTGATCAAGGTTTGACATTTTCGTACGTGACTCCATACTTTGCAATTAAACTCGGGCTAGAACCTGAACAACTTAGTGATTCATTCCTAGTATCTACTCCAGTTGGCGAGTTAGTGAAAGCCATAAGAGTCTATAGAGGTTGTATAGTTTCAGTCCAAGGTCGCAGCACCGAGGCCGATCTCATAGAGTTAGAAATGGTGGATTTCGATGAGGTCATGGGTATGGATTGGTTGTCTTCCTGCTATGCCATGTTAGATTGTTGTGCCAAGATAGTCAAGTTCCAATTTTCAAATGAAAAAGTCTTAGAGTAGGAGGGTAGTTCAGCATCGCTTGTAGGTAAGTATTTATTTCTTACCTTAAGGCACAAAGAATGATTAGTAAGGGGTGTCTCGCCTATTTAGCTCACATCATTAATCCAGAATCAGAACCACCAGCTCTTCAGTCTGTGCCAGTTGTTAGAGAATTTCTAGAAGTTTTCCCAATATGAACTTCCGGACTTCCTCCTGAAAGAATTATAGACTTTGGCATCGATCTCATGCCAGACACTCAACCAATATTTATACCTCTTTATAGGATGGCTCCAGCAGAACTTAATGAGTTGAGGGAACAGTTGAAAGACCTTCTTGACAAGGGCTTCATCAGGCTGAGTCTTTCACCGTGGGGTGTCCCGGTCCTGTTCGTCAAGAAGAAAGATGGGTCTCTCAGAATGTACGTCGACTATCAGCAGTTGAATAAAGTTACCATTAAGAACAAGTAACCACTGCCAAGAATTGATGATTTATTTGATCAATTTCAGAGTGCAAAGTACTTTTCAAAGATAGACTTGAGGTCGGAGTACCATCAGTTGAGAATCAGAGAAGAGGATATATCTAAAACAGCCTTTAGAACTCACTACGGGCCCTATGAATTTCTAGTAATGTCCTTCGGGTTGACAAATGCTCCAGCTGCATTCATGGACCTCATGAACAAAATTTTCAAGTCATTCCTCGATACCTTTATTATCGTGTTTATAGACGACATTCTGGTATAACTAAAGGCAAGGAAGAGCATGCAGAACTCCTCAAGATAGCCTTGCAGACCTTGAAGGAGAATGAGCTTTATGCCAAGTTTTCAAAATGTGAGTTCTGGTTGCAGTCAGTGGCATTCTTAGGCCATGTGGTATTTAGCGAAGGCATAAAAGTAGACCTTCAGAAGACAGAAATAGTCAAGAACTGGCCAAGTCCGCAAGCGCCAACCGAAATTAGGAGTTTATTGGGGTTGACTGGCTACTATAGAAGGTTTGTAGAGGGATTTTCCTCACTTGCAGCTCCATTAACTGAGTTGACTCAGAAAGCAGTTAAGTTCCAGTGGTCAGAAGCTTGTGAGAAGAGTTTTCAAGAGTTAAAGAAGAGGTTGACCGCTGCACCTGTGTTAACCTTGCCGACAGGTTCGGGTTCACAGTGTATTGTGATGCCTCCAGAGTTGGTCTTGGTTGTGTTCTTATGCAAGATGGAAAAATTATTACTTATGCTTCCAGGCAGTTAAAGAATCATGAGAAGAACTACCCCACACACGACTTGGAGCTTGTAGCACTGGTGTTTGCATTAAAGATATGGCGACACTACCTTTATGGCGAGCATTCTGAAGTGTTTACAGATCACAAAAGCCTCCAGTACACTTTCAAGCAGAAAGAATTAAATTTGAGACAAAGAAGGTGGCTCGAGCTATTGAAGGATTATGAAATCAATATCCTTTATCACCCGGGCAAAGCTAATGTGGTAGCAGATCCACTTAGTAGGAAGTCAACGGGTATCTTGGCCCATCTTGCAGTACAAAGGCGATCTTTGGGTCAAGAAATTCAAAAACTGGCAAATAATGGAGTTAGATTGGATGAGACCAAAGAAGGGGGTA